AATTTGCTTTGCGTTCCCAGAGTGGAACCCGGGGCCTCCACCATGCTAAGCATGTGCTCTACCACCCCATCCCCAAGTGTGGCATAGAAACACATCTTCGAAGCTGAAGCCAGCATTGAGACAACTCTGGATTTTTTTTTTTTTCTTGGTGCTGGGATTTGAACCCAGGGCCCCATGCATGCTAGATAGATGCTACCACTGATCTCCCAGCCCAGCCCTACTGTCCAGGCTTCTGACCCACAGGGACGGCCCCAAGCAGATGAAGTGTTTGTTTGGTGCATCCAGTAGGGATATAGCTTGGGTCCCCGCCCTCTGGCACTTTCCTCTGCTGTCCCCTACCCCTTTCCACTCCAGCCAGGGTTCCTCAGTTCGAGAGAAAACCAGGCTCTCTCTTGCCTTGGGGGTCCCTGTCGCCTCTCCCTGATCCTGATCTTAGTGGTTCCTGGTACAGCCCATGTTTTGGGTTGTTTGCTCCCCATTGCTGTGACAAAGCTCCAGAAGGCAACCTGCAGGGAGGAGGAAAGATCGACTTTGACTTTACTGTCTCAAGCCTGAGGTGAAGGTGAAGACCTCATGATGGTAGTGTGGGGTGGTGGCCTGGAAGCAGGGGGGAAGGGCCCCCCTCTCTGGTCCTGTCCCTCCGGTGAGGCCATCAATTATGGTCTCATCAGTGGATTAACCCACTCGATGGAGTAGAGCCCTTGTCCAGTCTTCCCGAAAGCCGGGCAGCTGCCCCCCTTAGCATTAGTATGAGTGTGGGGGGCATTTTCAGTCCAAACTGCACCTGAGAGTCCTGGTCCCACTCTTACCTGCCTAGCACCCTGAGCTGGGGGTCTCCTGAGCCTCGCTTCATAGCTGAGGAGAGCCAGCTGCAAAGTGGCGACAGTGCAGGACCAGGCCCGTGCCCACCCCAGCCTTTGACCTTGCCAGTTGGGCTAATGAGAGGTCTGGCCCTCCTGCTCCCCTCTGTAATTCACTCCCACTCTAATTTTATTGCCGCCTCCGCTGTCCCCGGGCCCTGGGGCTCTGTTACCATGGAAGGCCCTGGCCAGCGGGACAGGCAGCTTCCTGTAGCTGGTATGGGAACAGAGCCGGAGGCCACAACCCCTCTGTCCGTCCACTCAGTGCCATTTGTCAGTACTTTTTGTGCTGGCTGTGCTGGGGAGGAAATCCAGGCCCCTACACATGCGCTGTGCCACCCCACTACTTTCCCCTCTACTTTGTCAGGTACTTCACTTTTTGTGTTTGTGGTTTTTAGGTACTGGGGATCGAACTCAGGACCTTGTGCTTGTGAGGCACCACTGAGTTAAATCCCTGGTCCTGCTCGTTTGTTTTTGAGATAAGTTCTGACTGTGTATTCCAGGCTGGGTTTGAAATTATGTAGACCAGCTTGCCCTTGAATTTGCAGTTGACCCTCTTGCCTCAGCCTCCCGAGTACTGGGA